AGGAAGAGAGGAGGTGGAGTTGGAGCAGAGAGGCGGCCGTAATGGCATATTGTTCTCTGATGAGCGCTCCGTGAGGCCAGCTCTATGTCAACTCCAGATAGCGACCTCGCGTGTTTTCATCTCGCTCTTCTACAGCACGCTACACTATAGTAGAAATTGTTTGGCGAGCGAGCAGGCCCTGAGCTCGCGGCAACAAACGCTGAACTCAGAACCGCTTTGGGTTCGGAATGAGCTCGCTGTTCCTTGGTTCCTTCCGTGGTTGTTCCTCAAGCCCTCCTTTTTTATTGAGGCCCTTTGAGGTGTCAGAGTGGGGCTTCGTTCCTTACGCAGCGTTCCGTAGTGCAGCAGCTTGATTATAGCACTTGCACGATTGGTTTAGATGTTCGTGTTGGGGACATTCCTGGAGCCCGCCTAACGGATCTGTTCGACCCCAGTTCGATTGAAGTTCGATTCAAGTTCGACTCAGGGTCGACTCAAGCGACGGACGTTCGACGCAGATTCGACGCACGCGTGGAGCGAGTGTCTCCAGGAAGGTCCCCAGAATGAGCATCCAAATTGGTGGCGCGACGAGAAGGAGTGATTATCCAGGAAGGGGAAGACGGATGCTTTTCCCGCTCTTTTTGTGGGTGGCTCTCTCAAGCTCTCCGCTGCCTCTGGCGGTGCGCGTTGCGAGCAGGAACGCAGCAGAGCCACAGGAGATCGCGGCATTGACAGTGTAGCTCCGCACACGTGACACCTGTTAACGAATATCAGAGCGTGAATTACCTACCCCGCTTTCGCTTCCAGGCGAAACCAAGCCATACCACGCGCCTCCTCGTCAAGCGGCCTGACCAGTATAGGCTGCAATTTGGCATCTTTCGGTATCTCCTGGAAGCGAGGGTGGTCAAAAGCGAGGTAGGTTTGTTCCCCCCTTAGAATAAGAGCACAGCAAGGCCCCACGCTAGCATATGCCAGCGAGCATAACGCGCCGCACCAGTCGTCGGCCCGCCAGTCGGCGGCCGCGGCCCTCAGGCCTGCTTCTCCTCGGTCGCCAAGGTGGAAGCCGGCACCATCAAGAACCAGGCTGTCGGGCCAGGGAAGTGGCCCATCCTCAGAGGAGGGAGAGGTACCAGTACCGTTAGAAAGTCCAGGGTTCGCTAGGGACTGGTTTCCCCCCCAAGCGACAAATACCCTTCCAAAACCCTCCCGAAACCCTCCGAAAACCCTCCCGAAAGCCTTCCCGGATGGTTTTCGGATGGTTTCGGGAAGGTTTCGGTTGTTTCGAAAGAGAACCAGTTCCTAGCTAACCCTGGACTTTCTTACGATTCCGCTACCCTTCGCCCGTTGTTTCCTTTCTGGGCCTCTTGGGAGGCCCTCGTCGCCACTGCTGGATTCGCCTCGGAATTCTGGTCAGAACGCACCCCGGGAGAGGTCTGGGGAGTAGCGGTAACGGGGTTCCTTGTGGTTTCCCCTCATTCGTTTGAGTGGCGTTTTGATGGCGAAATGTGTTGCCTTTTGCTGGTTGAGAACAGGAGGCCTATAGGAGGAACGGTCGGAGAAGGAGGCTGGTGAGGTGGCCGCGGGGGAGAGGGGGAAAGGAGGGGCGAAAGGTGTTGCCCTTTTCTGGATGAGCTCAAGAGGACTTGGGAGGAACGGTTGTGAAGGAGGCTGATGAGGTGGCCGCGGGGGAGAGGGGGAAAGGAGGGGCGAAAGGTGTTGCCCTTTTCTGGATGAGCTCAAGAGGACTTAGGAGGAACGGTTGCGAAAAAGGAGGGTGAGGTGGCCGCGGGGGAGGGGAAGGAGGGGCGAAAGGGGTTGTGTCCTTTTTTGGATGGGCTCGAAAGGGCCCAGGAGGCACGGTTTGGGACGGAGATTGTTGAGGTGGCCGCTGGGGTTAAGTCGGGCCTGTCGCTCGACAGGGAGAACAACCCCAAATAGTCAAACAATAGTCTGAGGCCGTTTTTTGAATTCCCAACCCTCCTTGGTTGGGCATTCGTTTTGAATAGAGCAGTGTGGTCGCGTCCCTCCTCCCTCCCTCCTCCCTCCCTGGGGGGCTGCGATCTGTGAAACTGTCGCAATTTTCGAGGCCTGCTGGGGGGCCCAGCACAGTGAGGGCCACGGGCGGATCCAAATTAGACCTCGCCATCCCTGGGGGGGTGCGATCTGTGAAACTGTCGCCATTTTCGAGGCTTGCTGGGGGGCCCAGCACAGTGAGGGCCACGCGCGGATTCAAATTAGACCTCGCCATCCCTGGGGGGCTGCGATCTGTGAAACTGTCGCCATTTTCGAGGCCTGATGGGGGGCCCAGCACAGTGAGGGCCACGCGCAGATTCAAATTAGACCTCGCCATCCCTGGGGGGCTGCGATCTGCGAAACTGTCGCCATTTTCGAGGCCTGCTGGGGGGCCCAGCACAGTGAGGGCCACGCGCGGATTCAATTTAGACCTCGCCATCCCTGGGGGGCTGCGATCTGCGAAACTGCCGCCAGTTTCGAGGCCTGCTGGGGGGCCCAGCACAGTGAGGGCCACGGGCGGATCCAAATTAGACCTCGCCATCCCTGGGGGGCTGCGATCTGCGAAACTGTCGCTATTTTCGAGCCCTGCTGGGGGGCCAGCACAGTGAGGGCCACGGGCGGATTCAAATTAGACCTCGCCATCCCTGGGGGGCTGCGATCTGCGAAACTGTCGCCATTTTCGAGGCCTGCTGGGGGGCCCAGCACAGTGAGGGCCACGCGCAGATTCAAATTAGACCTCGCCATCCATGGGGGGCTGCGATCTGCGAAACTGTCGCCATTTTCGAGGCCTGCTGGGGGGCCCAGCACAGTGAGGGCCACGCGCGGATTCATATTAGACCTCGCCATCCCTGGGGGGCTGCGATCTGCGAAACTGCCGCCATTTTCGAGGCCTGCTGGGGGGCAGCTCATGTGTGGGCCACGCGCGATCCAAATTATACCGACAACCCCTCGCATCCCTGGGGCTGCGATCTGTGAAACTGTCGCCATTTTCGAGGCCTGCTGGGGGGCCCAGCACAGTGAGGGCCACGCGCGGATTTTCAAATTAGACCTCGCCCTCCCTGGGGGGCTGCGATCTGCGAAACTGTCGCCATTTCGAGGCCTGCTGGGGGGCCCAGCACAGTGAGGGCCACGCGCGGATTCAAATTAGACCTCGCCATCCCTGGGGGGCTGCGATCTGCGAAACTGTCGCCATTTTCGAGGCCTGCTGGGGGGCCCAGCACAGTGAGGGCCACGGGCGATTCAAATGAGACCTCGCCATCCCTGGGGGCTGCGATATGCGAAATGTCGCCATTTTCGAGGCCTGCGGGGGGGCCAGCACAGTGAGGGCCACGCGCGATTCAAATAGACCTCGCCATCCCTGGGGGGCTGCGATCTGCGAAACTGTCGCCTTTTCGAGGCCTGCTGGGGGGCCCAGCACAGTGAGGGCCACGCGCGGATTCAAATTAGACCTCGCCATCCCTGGGGGGCTGCGATCTGCGAAACTGTCGCCATTTTCGAGGCCTGCTGGGGGGCCCAGCACAGTGAGGGCCACGCGCGGATTCAAATTAGACCTCGCCATCCCTGGGGGGCTGCGATCTGCGAAACTGTCGCCATTTTCGAGGCTTGCTGGGGGGCCCAGCACAGTGAGGGCCACGCGCGGATTCAAATTAGACCTCGCCATCCCTGGGGGGCTGCGATCTGCGAAACTGTCGCCATTTTCGAGGCCTGCTGGGGGCCCAGCACAGTGAGGGCCACGCGCAGATTCAAATTAGACCTCGCCATCCCTGGGGGGCTGCGATCTGTGAAACTGTCGCCATTTTCGAGGCCTGCTGGGGGGCCCAGCACAGTGAGGGCCACGCGCGGATTCAAATTAGACCTCGCCATCCCGGGGGGGCTGCGATCTGCGAAACTGTCGCCATTTTCGAGGCCTGCTGGGGGGCCCAGCACAGTGAGGGCCACGCGCAGATTCAAATTAGACCTCGCCATCCCTGGGGGGCTGCGATCTGCGAAACTGTCGCCATTTTCGAGGCCTGCTGGGGGGCCCAGCACAGTGAGGGCCACGCGCGGATTCAAATTAGACCTCGCCATCCCTGGGGGGCTGCGATCTGCGAAACTGTCGCCATTTTCGAGGCCTGCTGGGGGCCCAGCACAGTGAGGGCCACGCGCGGATTCAAATTAGACCTCGCCATCCCTGGGGGGCTGCGATCTGCGAAACTGCCGCCATTTTCGAGGCCTGCTGGGGGGCCCAGCACAGTGAGGGCCACGGGCAGATTCAAATGAGACCTCGCCATCCCTGCGGGGCTGCGATCTGTGAACCTGTCGCCACTTTCGAGGCCTGCTGTGATCCCCGTTTTCGAAGTGGCTAGGAGTGCTCAGGAATTGTAAATCATCAGCTTTATCAAGCCCTTTTCCTGTAGCCAGTGTCCTGCGAGTTTCCGAATTCCGTCTGCAGATATATGTAACCCTCGCTCCGTCATCGCCCCCTTATAAAGTATCCTAAACTATTTGCGCCCCGCTTTTGCGCAGGGGTTGGGTACGTCGCCAGGGTAATTGTTTTTCAATCGCCTGCGGCATGTTTAGAGTATGTTTGAATGTTCGTCCAAAACACCCTTAAAAGGGGGACATGCCCGACCTAAGATCGGTGAGGTGGCCGCTGGGCAGAGGGGTGGAAAAGGAGGGGGGGCGGGCGGCAAAGAGAAGAGCAGGGCACAGGCCAGGCGCGCTCGCGCCACATTCGATACTATGCGGGCCGAACTTCCGTACAGTGGCCGAACGTCCGTCCAAACGGCGCTCTGCGCCTCGGCGCGGGCAGCACACCGCCAGCGTCACCTGCAGGTCTTGGCCAGCTTAAGAGCGAATCGGGAGGACGTCTCAGCAGAAACCGACGTTTTTGATTCAGATGGGGGGCAGGACGACGTGGACGAGTCAAACGCACGTTTGACGAAAGTCAAAATCGAAGCAACCGTCCCTCACCACGGCGCTGGATTGATCATTTGATGTCCAGCTGCCTGCGGCGGGTCTTTAGTCGGGCATGTCCCTCTCCAGGAGGAAGAGTCAAGAGTAGTGAAAACATGCGGTCTGGGGGGGATTGTTTCCCGGAAAGGGCGTAGGCCCAGGGTTCTCTTCTACGAGGTCGAGACGAGCCGATGAATGAACATTCGATGATGTCCCCAGCGAAGCGCTGGTTTTTGAAATATCCGGAAAGGGCGTGGGCCCAGGGTTCCATGTTAGAGGTTTACCCACGGAATCGACGGACAGAGGTGCGGCGGAATTATTTGCGATAAGTAACGCGGCTGGAAGAGGGCCAGCGAAATTATGTTTGAGAATGTCCCGAGCGAAATGCTTGTTTCGCAGAAATGGTTGAGGATGTGTCGAGCGAAACGCTTGTTTTGTGTGCGATATTCTCCTCTCCTGGGGACCAGACTTCAGATGATATCTCAAGCGAAATTCTTGTTTTCACGTGCTCAGGTCTTGAGGATGTCTCGAGCAAGACGCTTGGTTTCACGCGTCCAGGTTGCCCAGGCAGATGTCTAGCATGAGGATTTGTTGAGGATGTCTTGAGCGAGACGCTTGTTTTCACGCGTCCAGGTCGCCCAGACGGATGTCTAGCATGAGGATGGGTTGAGGAAGTCTCGATCGAAACGCTTGTTTGCACCTGTCCAGGTCACCCAGGCGGATGTCTAGCATGAGGATGTCCCGTGGCGAGTCCCCTTGGCACGTCGCGTCCCCTAGCGCGTCCCGCGGCACGTGCATTGGCACGTTCCGTAGCGCGTCTCTTTGGCAAGTCCCGCGGTGCGTCCCCATGGCACGTCCCCTGGCACGTCGCTTGGCGCGCCCCTCGGGACGATCCGGGGCGCGTCCTTTCCTGGTATGTAGCCCTGTCAATTAGCTCTGGGGCAGATACTATGTGCTCAGGCAGTTCGAGCTTGAGATCCAGATCAGTTCGGTGAGGACTCGGATGCACAAGAGGACTCGAGCCACAAAGCCATAGTAGTGCACAATCGCGGCATGGCACATCGCAAGTCAGCACGGCGCAGCACAGCACAGCCCTCGGCACGGTACATCATGATCGACACATTCAGCACTGCAAC